TGATATCACAGTTTGTGTGTATAATACGGTATTTCATTCTCATATAATACAATATTTAATTCTCATGTCATAAAATAATTGACAGTCATATGTAAAAATATTTAATAATAATCCCTTACAGAAAAGATTCCAATATCAATTTTTGATTTTCAGAACAATTTCTTTGAAACCAGGTAGGCTTGAAAACCACAACATAAAATTGTGTACTTCTCAATAGTTTTCTTTTCCGTCACTGACATGTCTGTAAGTGGTAGAGGATCTGGTATTTTATTGACAAATGTTTTATTTTGTGTAAAACTAACATTGGTCACATGACTGATATTCAGAAATACACTGTAATATCATAGGTATCATCTTGTCAACAAAGAGAGCTTAAGCTGCACTGTTCAGTAAACTGTACATGTGCATAGACCACTTATCCATATAAAAGCATAGTTGTCTCACTACTTGACCCTTCCACTGGCTCTTAATGGTAACACCTTTTAAGTGGTGCTTTGTAATAGGGTCATTTTTCTTAATTCTGTGCTGCCATTATGGATGCTTTGCATTGTTGGTTTTTCCTTAATCGATTGTGAATGAACGCACAAGAAAGTATATCAGTATTAAGTATATGTACACAAGGCCAGTTCACCTATGTGTCATTATAAGTATATGTGTGTCTTGTTTTGCTCGCATTTTGTGTGGGAATTTTGGTGCACTATAGACCTTTCCGAGTACAGACGGAAAAATACTGGTTCAAGACCATAGGGACCCTTGACCCATTGCCAGGGTAGGTAGCTATTGTTTCAATAAGATTTACATATGTGGAGTTAATTTAAATTACACATTAAATGTTGTATCTGTCTACTAGGATACTATGAGTAGAATTCATGTTTTTAACACTGTAGGAATACATGTGTTTAAGTATTTTATTCTTTGTATTGTAGGGTCTTTGACTTAATCTAGATACAAATAAAGATAAAGTGAAACCGGACAAAAGTGTTCGCCCCTTATTACACCATTTTCACAATAGCTATGGCAAAGAGTAAATAGATACACATCCCAAAATAGACTAAACTGATTTGGTTAAATATTTGACTGGTCAGATCACCAAGGCATGCTATCATCTAATACAGTATAAAGTTTGGTTGGAGGTTCTGCAGTCTGACCATGAAGTGAATTTACTTAACATATACAAAAGAAAAGAGATCCAATATCCGGGATAATGGTTCAGTAATTTCAGTAGTCTACCCAAGGCGGATTCCGCACGGAATACCGAGTCCGGCTCCAAAAACGTAAGTAGTGAAACACCAGGAACAGACAGCCAGACAACACCTTCGGTAGATTAGGTCAAGTTTAATGGTTGACATGTTTCGACACACTAGGTGTGTCGTCCTCAGAACAGAGTAAATTCAAAATACAGGACTATATATATCATCTAAGCATAGCAACTACACATGTTATTTATATGACATCATAGATAGTACACTGGTTACAATGACGTGGAAAGTTAGTGACGTCATAATACTAGAGAATTGGTATGGGCGGAACACCGCAATATAGTAACAAGTTACTGCTGAATAATGTACAAATTTGATTCTTAGTAGAGTTATTAATACATAAGGACTACAGATGATATATCCGATATGTATGATAATCTAAGCCGCGTAATATTGTAGATGAAGATTTATGTACAATTTGTACACTATCGGTAAGTAATAAAAGGCTGTTCTATGTGAATGTTCGCTGAGTTACAGTTCCAATGCTTGCAACAATAAATCCAATGAAAACACAATGTGTGTGTATATACACCTATATACATATCAAGTTGCAAGATTGGTCACTAGTATGACAATGAATGTTACATAGTAGATTCACAGTGATAATAATAGTTTACATCCACCGTTATCCAGACGTTATCCAGATTATCCGTGTCTGATATTAAGTCCCTGTGGTTCTGCGGTGTTCAAGTATTATGACGTCACTAACTTTCCACGTCATTGTAACCAGTGTACTATCTATGATGTCATATAAATAACATGTGTAGTTGCTATGCTTAGATGATATATATAGTCCTGTATTTTGAATTTACTCTGTTCTGAGGACGACACACCTAGTGTGTCGAAACATGTCAACCATTAAACTTGACCTAATCTAACGAAGGTGTTGTCTGGCTGTCTGTTCCTGGTGTTTCATTACTTAACATATGTTTACTGTTTCTGTATAACAGTATATGTCCTTTCCTTTGTCTGTGTATAAAAGGTTGTATAAACTTGTACAGTATGTAGACTCGACCAATCTGATTTGTCTGATTTGAATTAATAATTCTTAAATTTTTAGATTTAGAGCTTTTTATTTGTCATTAAGAATTACAGTAGTTTATGAACTGTTTGAAGGTTAACAATACCCAATGAAAAGCTATTTGGAGATGTGGTCTCCCTGTGGTAGCTATATAGCATGCGTGAGCTGTATTATCAACCACAAGGTATTTAAATGATGATTTCACTTCTTTAGTGATAATACCGGTAACTTCTGTGCAATGTTTAACAATGGAGAACCTGATGTAGGTATGTATACTAAATTAATTCTTTTTACATATCAATATATAGAATAACACCAGCAGATTTGTTATGTTGACGTGAATATTGTTGTGGGATCTGTTATGTTAACTTTTTGTTTTATACTTATTTCCGGAGTTGGGAACAATTTCTATTTTATATTACAAAAACATGAATATATATAAAATAAATATAAAAAACACTGTCTTCCAATAATCCTATCACCTCTTCAGTGGCCAAAGGCCACAACATGACATCAGTCAACAATTATAAATCTAAAGTTACTGCTTTGATTGACTGTAAAACCTTTATTATCTCATTCTCCTTCACATGGACAAAGATAGTCTAGCTCTCTCGCACATATAGTGATATGAAGTTACAAATAAATTAAAAAGGATTCCCACATGATGCACTCATATAACCCACTGGGCTTAAATTTCATTCATTTTAAAATGCCTCCGTGAAGTGAAGTCGACTTGAAATATGGGCCTTATATCAATTAATATTAACCTTTGCCATTTTCTTTTTACAGAATCTCAATAAAGTAGATGCTGGAAGTTTGTATTTACCAAATTAAATATGAATATAATGTAAAATATTGCAAAGATTGTCGTTCACTTTGTTGCTCTGGTATCAGGAAGACTGAAAACAATAAACTGTACCAAACAATTACTGGAAAACTTAATGTTTTCATTAATTTCATGTTTGTAAACTTTGGAATCGAAAGAAATGAAAGTGTGTTTTGACAAAGAAAAATTGTAAATGTATGGATTAACTTTCTATTTTGTTTTGGTTATCGAGTGATAACTATAATTCAACTCAGGTAAATTTTGCATAAAAGGCCTCTTGTGTGTTGTTAATGCAGTCGATTGCCTTAACCTGGAAAACAAAATGTTAACTTAGACAATTTAGCTGAACTAGATTTTTATTTATTTAATGGGTTTTATGTCCACTATCATGGTCTTTTGGCACTTCAGCAGACAAGAAAAGATAGGAAATGAAGTAGAGAGGAAATAGTATGAAGTGATGAAAGTAAGTGGGATAGATACATGTAGATAAGGTGAAGAGGTGTTGTCTATACTAACAGACCTGTTATTTAACTACAACTTTCAAGATGACTCCTTAGACCTAATTGTAGCTCTAACCTAACTATGACTAGGCATGTAGCAGCAAGAGTACTCGTTGAAGAGGAGGTGGATTGCAAAGTCAGTCAATAATTTTTTTAATAAATAATATAATGCTAAACTAACCCTAAAATCTGGCCAGTGTTACCATGCCTGTTCTTTTTCTTAGAACCACAGAGTTATCTTTATTGTGCAAGCATTCTCTGTCTGACAGTGTCAGACTGGCCACCATTTTAAGTCCCATCCGATAGACTGTGTTTGGGGTTATTTCTTAGTAAGGTGCTAGCGGTGTCCATATGTAGGTCTTCTTTCCAAGACTGCCACTCTGTAAACTTTATCAATGTCCACACTCTCTGCAAATCCATATGTAACTGTTCACATTAAAGCATTTATATATTTATGATTTGTGATTGTGAAGTTAAAAGTACTGGGAGAGTTTGAAAGTATTAATAAGGGTTACTAGGTGTTTAATGAAATATACTTGATAGAAGGTTATCTATTAAGTGCTATGAGACATTTTTACTTCTGTGATAGAGTTTATTGCAAGTGTGTTTTATGTGATAATACAGTTCTTCAATTAAGATGGTAAAGAAGTACACCTGATGAGGTGACAAGTACACATGCAAGATGGTGGGTAGATGTATTAGTTGTGTGGTTCAATCTTGGCATAAGGACCCAGCCTTATCTCTACATTGCTCAATGTTAAAGGTATGTCATCCCCTGTCTTTGCTGCCCCATTTCATATTAGATACATCAAAACCCAATAATATATTACCTATGATATTTCAGGCTATAATTTCAATTTCTGGTGTATTAAGTCTTGAATTGGGATGCATTGTTAGGCAATATTGTTTTTGATATAACTTGCTATTACCCTGTTTTGTTACATTTGATGGGCTCAAAATCAGTAACTTTCGAAGAGCTTCATAGATTTTGCCCGATTGTTGTTTCCTTCTTCTGAAGACATCAACACTGGTGTTTTCTGATAATTGTTTCTATTCGAATTTTTTCAGTGTAGTTCATCATAGGTTGCAGACTTTTTAACTGTTTGTAGCTGTCATTTTTGGTTTTTAGATTTAGCTTTTGCCTATTTTTTTGTAATAAAATTAACGATCTCGGCAAGATACCGGCACACAGTTTTCTAGTCACTGCGGACGTGTCCTCGCTTTATACACCGATTCCACACAGAGACGGCATTCTCGCGGCTAAACACGCCCTTGATACTAGGGTGGACAAATCCCCACCTACTTGGATCCTCCTCAGATTTCTACATTCTGTCCTCACCAAGAACTGCTTTAAGTTTGACAACCAACACTACCTACAAACCCAGGGCACTAGCATGGGTACCAAATGCGCCCCAAATTACGCCATATTATTTATGGACCGATTGGAAAATAATTTTCTGGAGTCTCAACCTCTGAAACCTCTAGTGTGGTGGAGGTTCATTGACGATATCTTCTTGATTTGGACCTTCCCTCGCGAGGCCCTTACTACCTTCATGGAGGGTCTAAACCGATTCCACCCCAAGATCAAATTCACGCACGAGGTTAGCTCCACCCAGATAAATTTCCTTGACACCACGGTGATTAAAGAGATGGACGGCACTTTACAAACTACTCTGTTTACTAAGCCCACGGACGCGCACTTATATCTTCACTACAGATCATGCCATCCTCGTCAGCAAATACGTAACATTCCGTTTGGACAACTCCTTAGGGTACACCGGATATGCTCAACTTTAGATGAGTTTGATAAACACAGCAGAACCATGTGTGACAATTTTCGATTACGAGGCTATCCACGGGACCTTCTAAAATCCGCCACTATTAAAGCTAGGAATGCCGACAGATTACCGCTACTTAGGAAGGCTGATACCAACACTAAAACTATTATTCCATTTATAACCAAATTTGATCCCCATCGACAACACATTGGAACTATCTCGAAAAAACACTCAGGCATTCTCAACCGTATAGGCCCTAAAATGAACAACTCGGTGATTACAGTAGCCTACAAAAAAGCTAATAACATTAGGAACCTTCTTGTGAGATCCGACTTGAATCCACCAAACCGGACATCGGGAAGTCAACCTTGTCGCCGACCTTGCAGTCTATGTCCATTCATGGAGACATGTTCCTCCGTCTCAGGCAAATCCAACCAACAAACGTTTATTATCAGACAAAGTATAAACTGTAATTCTATCAGTGTAGTCTACATGATACAATGTCAAATATGCGGAATCCAATATATTGGACAAACAGGAAATTCGATCAGGGAACGCTTTCATGGCCATTTCGCTGATATCAGGAATGCAAATAAACACAAACCAGTCTCGCGTCACTTTACATCTATGGGACATGACGCAGGAAGTATGAAAATTACTGGACTTAAAATCACATCGCAGAATGTCAATACCCGCTTACGCACGGAAGAAGCCTTCATCACGCATTTAAACACTGCGGAACCACATGGACTAAATATCAGACACGGATAGTCTTAATACTTTAATAAACTCTCAACCTGGCTACTTGTCTGGATATTTGAAGACTGGATATTTGAAGACTAAAGATAAACTGTCATTCTTATTACGTACAGTTGTGCTTTTATATTATGAACATTATTTGCTAACCCATTGATTCGCCGCTGGTTAATATTGATATACTGAGTTTATAAGTCTTAAATTAACTAGTACTAGTATTTTAATTAGATTCTAATGACAGCCGCTTAGGAAAGAACATTACCTACATACCTGTTTTAATAGAGCCAGCCGTAGGATAGACTTCTCACATGTTTATTCACTGATATATATATAACGTAGATAACGCTGGTAATTGTTTGATCTCTTTATCGTTTAAATTTCCTCTGATTGATATTTGTACATTACATAGCATTAGCCTAGGGCTAAGCGGGACTCCGCTATTATCTGTTTACTTGCATTATGACGTCACCAATCAATTACGTCATTACAAATAGTGTACTCTCTATGACGTTGGTGGAAATAACATGTGTAGTTGCTAGGCACAGGAGTATATAAAGTCCTGCTTTTTGAATTTGTACTGTTCTGAGGATGGCATACCTAGTGTGCCGAAACTAGTCAACTAATAAAGTTACAGAAGATCTTCATTGGCGTTGTCTGGTCCTGTTCACCTATTTTTTTGTTTGTTTGTTTGTTATTGATTTGAATATAGGTCTTTTGTTTATGTTTGGGTTTTTTCATGGAACTTCTCAGGGAGTCTGGTGGTACATGTACCATTGAATATAGGTCTTATTGTTTATGTTTGGGTTTTTTCATGGAACTTCTCAGGGAGTCTGGTGGTACATGTACCATGGAATATAGGTCTTATTGTTTATGTTTGGGTTTTTTCATGGAACTTCTCAGGGAGTCTGGTGGTACATGTACCATGGAATATAGGTCTTATTGTTTATGTTTGGGTTTTTTTTCATGGAACTTCTCAGGGAGTCTGGTGGTACATGTATCGTGTCTTTTTTTCTCATTGCTATAAGGTTATTGGCGTTCTAGTTGTGTCAGGTTTTGTGATTTTTTTTTTGTGTGTGTAAGGAATGAACTTTCACTTGTGACATTTTGATTGAGTTCAATATAGGAGTATAATATTGTGATATTAGTCTATGGTGGTAACACATTGATCATCTTTCAGCATTTAGTCCATAACTTTCTTGTTTTACAATTATAACAAAATTCCTCCACTAAGACATCTACCAACCAACACCTACGACATTGTAGTCCATGGTCTCTGTGGTCTCACAGATTACATTAAATTATTGCCATTACAGATTAAGATATATTCCAGACTATCAGAATCCTTTATACCAGACTTACAATAAACAAATCAATTTTTCAAACACTTCTATCCGATATACAAGTAAATAAACCATTAACAGATCTCAATTCTACATGAAAAGACTAAGATTTAATAGACAAAAAGTGTAGAAATTCAAGACTTGCATTAATGCCAGAATACTACTCACTCATGACTACAGGCAGATGATAGGGAAGACAGTAATATTTAACTGTCATGGAGAAGATAGACAGATTCTAAAATCATTGTATACGGTAGCTGTCTTGAAAAAAATCCACCAAATATCTATGGATCAAGGAATAATTTCACATAGAAATGTAAATATATTTTTTTTACATCTTCAAATAATGAACATTCATATAATAACTTAAAATAAAGTACATCTTAAAAATTTCCTCATGAAATAAGGTTCTGTGCACAGGTAAATTTTTCTGCTTAGGAGTCAGTGAATCATAAGTATGTAATGAGTATTCACTTGTTTGAGCATACAAAAATCTTGTAGCTAGCAAGGTAATTAAGAAATAAATCACATCAATTAACTAAAACATTGTTCCTATTGTACATATCTAATCAAAGGAACACACCTTTCAATGTGTCCTTCTCAAGTATTTTAAAGATTTGATCATCACCAATGAATGCTCACTGCATAATATTTCACACAAAATGAAACAAGCTGCATGATTATTATGGTCAGGTTACCAAGGATCAGTAAGTTACAAGTCTATCTAGATGTACTTTTACTCAGGTAAACAAGGATCAGTAAGTTACAAGTCTATCTACATGTACTTTTACTCAGGTTAACAAGGATCAGTAAGTTACAAGTCTATCTACATGTACTTTTACTCAGGTTACCAAGGATCAGTAAGTTACAAGTCTATCTACATGTACTTTTACTCAGGTTACCAAGGATCAATAAGTTACAAGTCTATCTACATGTACTTTTACTCAGGTTACCAAGGATCAGTAAGTTACAAGTCTTTCTACATGTACTTTTACTCAGGTTACCAAGGATCAGTAAGTTACAAGTCTTTCTACATGTACTTTTACTCAGGTTACCAAGGATTAGTAAGTTAAAGTCTATCTACATGTACTTTTACTCAGGTTACCAAGGATCAATAAGTTACAAGTCTATCTACATGTACTTTTACTCAGGTTACCAAGGATCAATAAGTTACAAGTCTATCTACATGTACTTTTACTCAGGTTACCAAGGATCAGTAAGTTACAAGTCTATCTACATGTACTTTTACTCAGGTTACCAAGGATCAGTAAGTTACAAGTCTTTCTACATGTACTTTTACTGAGGTTACCAAGGATTAGTAAGTTACAAGTCTTTCTACATGTACTTTTACTGAGGTTACCAAGGATTAGTAAGTTACAAGTCTTTCTACATGTACTTTAAATTTTTAACTAATGTGTTCATATTGTTTGGGTTTCGTAAGTTAATATAGAGACAATCATGTGCTATTTCAGCAGCCTAAAAAAACATACAAGAAACAACATATTTAAGTTCATATGATGACTACATAATGTAAGAGATTATACATACCAGAAAATATATCCAATAAATCCAAAACGAATCACTAGCACTTTAATAATATAAAACCTGAAATGAAAGAAAACTAGTATTAGGACATTATTACACAACAAACAGACAAGTGAAAGGTGCTATTTATTTGTTTTTCATCTTTTACACAATCTTTTTGATTGCATGCTGGTTGTATGATCACACACCTTGACTTTCAGTCGTCAGGCCTAGATTGTACTGTAACCTGCACATGGACTTTCAGTCTTCAGGACTACAGTGTACTGTAACCTGCACATGGACTTTCAGTCTTCAGGACTACAGTGTACTGTAACCTGCACATGAACTTTCAGTCTTCAGGACTACAGTGTACTGTAACCTGCACATGGACTTTCAGTCGTCAGGCCTACAGTGTACTGTAACCTGCACATGGACTTTCAGTCTTCAGGACTACAGTGTACTGTAACCTGCACATGGACTTTCAGTCGTGAAGCCTAGATTGTACTGTAACCTGCACATGGACTTTCAGTCATCAGGCCTACAGTGTACTGTAACCTGCACATGGACTTTCAGTTTATCATTTATTATTTACCTGTGCATCTACACTACAACTCTCTATATATCCACTCTTTTTGAAAATAAAAACTTTTAAAGTGTTAGATTCAAGCATTGTATTCTATCTTGTATCAATAAAACATACAACTTCTTCTATCATGTATCCACCCTCTACAACATGTGACATATTGTATCTATACTCTATCATGTATCCACCCTCTACAACATGTGACATGTAACCTGCACATGGATCTATCAGTCCTGTACAATATGTGACATCTTTTACACTACTGTAACCTGCACATGGACTTTCATGTCCACACTATCAGTGACATCTACACTGTATCATGTATCCACACTATACAACATGGACTTTCAGTCTATCAGTATCCACCCTCTACATGTGTATCTATACTCTATCATGTATCCACACTATACAACATGTGACTTGTATTTATCATGTATCCACACTCTACAACATGTGACATCTTGTATCTATACTCTATCATGTATCCACCCTCTACAACATGTGACATCTTGTATCTACTCTATCATGTATCCACCCTCTACAACATGTGACATCTTGTATCTATACTCTATCATGTATCCACACTATACAACATGTGACATCTTGTATCTATACTCTATCATGTATCCACACTATACAACATGTGACATCTTGTATCTATACTCTATCATGTATCCACACTATACAACATGTGACATCTTGTATCTATACTCTATCATGTATCCACACTATACAACATGTGACATCTTGTATCTATACTCTATCATGTATCCACACTATACAACATGTGACATTTTGTATCTATACTCTATCATGTATCCACACTATACAACATGTGACATCTTGTATCTATACTCTATCATGTATCCACACTCTACAACATGTGACATCTTGTATCTATACTCTATCATGTATCCACACTCTACAACATGTGACATCTTGTATCTATACTCTATCATGTATCCACACTCTACAACATGTGACATCTTGTATCTATACTCTATCATGTATCCACACTATACAACATGTGACATCTTGTATCGATACTCTATCATGTATCCACACTATACAACATGTGACATCTTGTATCTATACTCTATCATGTATCCACACTATACAACATGTGACATCTTGTATCTACTCTATCATGTATCCACACTATACAACATGTGACATCTTGTATCTACTCTATCATGTATCCACCCTCTACATGTGACATCTTGTATCGATACTCTATCATGTATCCACACTATACAACATGTGACATCTTGTATCTATACTCTATCATGTATCCACACTATACAACATGTGACATCTTGTATCTATACTCTTTTATAATATATTTTCCATGTTTTAACGCCCTGCAATTCTCAAAATGTGGGATCGTGACAAGCACGATCTATCAACAAGAATTGTGTTTCATCAAGTGTATATTTGGGACAACAACTTCTGATTTGGAGAAATGACAACAAAGTTATGATGACTTGTTCCTTTCACTCCAGATTGAGTTTATAGTCATGTCGAAACAAACCATGTATAACACCTGACAAGTTGTCCTCGTCTTCTTG